TTTAAAGTCCATTCGAATTTCAAGTTCCTCTAAGATCAGTTCTCTAGTTCTAAGTTCACTGGGGAGAAAAATGGTAGGTGAAGAGCTTTGATCAAGTGGAAGGGAAGCGCCATTTCCCTGAACCAAGAGTTCCAGAGCACCATCGAGGCTCACATTTACCCCTCTCTCTCTCTCTTTTGAAGGGTACACCGAGGAAGAAGGGCCGGGGTCGTGATGAACATAATTAGTTTCCGGCGTGGAACATAAGGGTTAGCAAAAAGGTCAAAGGTGAAACACGTGTGTGTGTGTGTGTGTGTGTGTGTGTGTGTGTGTGTGTGTGTGTGTGTGTGTGTGTGTGTGTGTGTGTGTGTGTGTGTGTGTGTGTGTGTGGGTGTGTGCGTGTGTGTGTTAGATGACCTGTATGAACTTGCGTAAGCCATCTCTTTCTCATGTCTATGATTATTTTATTATTATTATTTTCATTATTATTATTATTATTATTATAATTATTATTATTATTATTATTATTATTATTATTATTATTCTTTTCATTATTATTATTATTATTATTATTATTATTATTATTATTATTATTATTATTATTATTAGATTAATTATTATTAGATTTTTTATACTGTAGGAGACCAAAAAATAGCCTCAGGGAAAATGGAGACAACCAGATTTGATCCTTTTAGAGGGAAAGGTAGCTCCAGTTCATTGGATCAAGAGGTCTTTTTTATCCGACAATCTTCTTTTCATTCGGCAATCTGTACTTCCTTTATTCCACAATCTTTACTTGACTTAACCTTCAATCTTTATTTCCGTTGTCCTACAGAGTCTTGTCCTTTACTCTACTAATCTTGACTATCTTGACCGAACTAGAAGTAGTTAGAAGGTAGCTCTTTGTGAGGAGATAGCTTTGAGGTGGAGACCAGCAGATAGCTTTGAGGTGGAGACCAGCAGATAGCTTCGAGGTGGAGACCAGCAGATAGCTTCGAGGTGGAGACCAGCAGATAGCTTTGAGGTGGAGACCAGCAGATAGCTTTGAGGTGGAGACCAGCAGATAGCTTTGAGGTGGAGACCAGCAGATAGCTTTGAGGTGGAGACCAGCAGATAGCTTTGAGGTGGAGACCAGCAGATAGCTTTGAGGTGGAGACCAGCACATAGCTTTGAGACGAAGATCAACAGATAGCTTTTAGGTGGAGACCAGCAGATAGCTTTGAGGTGGAGACAGAAAAGTCTCCCGCTATCTGCCTTTTCCCTATCCTCCCATCGAGTATTTTATATGTTCTGGTCATATCTCCTCACGTGAGCCTTGTTATACCTATTCTTAAAACTATGCACGGAGCCGGCTTTCAGTACTTCTTAGTATGAGTAACTTGATAAAGAAAGGTGAATGAGTCAGAATCAGGAAGAACAGTCAAAACAGGAACTGTAACAGCAGCAGTAGAAAAAAAGGGCATAAGAACAAAAATAGCCCGAGAAATAACAGAATAGGAACAATAGCAGCAGTAACAGTCGCGGTAGGAAAAAAAACTGATATAATAGCACCACTAGAAGCAACAGTAGTAGTAGTAGTAGTAGTAGTAGTAGCAGTAGTAGTAGTAGTAGTAGAAGCATTGGAATAAGAGGAACAGTAACAGGAACAGCAACAGGAACAGCAGCAGCAAGAGTCGGGTCAGGCTGGGAACCGCTTGACTAATGTTGCAATTAGTCTGGAGCTCTGGTCATCCGTACACCACATCAGCTCAATACTAACCTGTGCCACCTGGCTCTCACGCGCCCGCGCCCACGCCCGCGCACCCGTGCACCCACGCCAGGTGCCATAAATTCCCCTTCCCCCCTTTCAGCCCTCTTTTCCCCTCTGTCTCTCTCTCACTCCCTCTTTTGCCTCTCTATATCTCTCTGTCTCTCAGTTTGTTAACGATACAGTCAAGTAACTTACCTTGTCTTTTCCCTTTTTTATGCTTTGTTTGGTTTAAAGAAAAACTTTTTATCAACTGTCTACTTGTATGCCATTTTCCATTCCCTATAACCCTCAAGTCGTAATAAAAGTAAGTGCTGGATTTCGTAAGTACACTTAAGGGAATAAACTGGACACTATATTTACGAATAACAAACTGGTTCCCTGTGCATTCCATTTTCTTACGACTTTAGGATAAGTTCGTATCTCTTTATGGGACACTTATTGAGTGCTTTTATAACCTTGCGTGGAGCTAAAATTTGCTGAATTGGATATCTATTGATCCGCGTTCCGCCGTTAAATCTGTCTGGAATGTGAGGCTTACTTTGCCGAATGGGAATGTTAAGCACTGGTGGGTGTAAAAAGACGTACGTGTGTGTGTGTGTGAGTGTGAGTGTGTGTGTGTGTGTGTGTGTGTGTGTGTGGTGTGTGTGTGTGTGTGTGTGTGTGTGTGTGTGTGTGTGGTGTGTGTGCTCATCTAATTGTGGTTGCAAGTGTCGATTCAGAGCTCTTGACCCCGCCTCTTCACCATTCGCTACTAGGTCCACTCTCTCCCCCGGCTCTAAGAGCCTTGTGTGTGTGTGTGTGTGTATGTGTGTGTGTGTGTGTGTGTGTGTGTGTGTGTGTGTGTGTGTTGTGTGTGTGTGTGTGTGTGTGTGTGTGGAAGACAAAATACCCAGGGGTTTTAAAGGTTATCAGAAGCGAAGGGAGCGACTGGGAAAGTCACTGAAAAAGAGTCCCTCAGAAGTATGTATACGAAGTACGTCAGAAGTGTGTTACAGTAAGCAGCAGTGCGGAACCAATACCTGTTGAATCCTTTCTAAAATCTAGAGAATAGTCAGAAGCTGATTTATATCTAGTCCTGGAGATGAGGAGGCGAGTGGCCTATGTAAGACTTTATGGGACAGAAGAACTAGAGAAGCCATGATCACGATATAGGGGGACAGTGAGAGTGAGAGTGAGAGTGAGAGCAGAGATATCTGAAAGGAGGAAACCAAGGACAAGAGGGCGTAGTCGCAAATAAGTCTCAAAATGGCAGAAAATTTCTCTCATAGAGGTTAAAAAAAAGCAACAATCTGGATGAAAAAACTGTTAGTGGTCGGGCGGACTCCATGAATAGTTCATTATGAAGTATGGTAGAGCCCAAGAGGCTAAGACTTAGTATAACCTATCGTGGGAAGTTGACAGACGATACAAGGCTCCCAGTAACACTTCCTCCTGACCTGGTGATAATCTATCCCATTATATCAGACATTCCCACACGTCACCTGGGCAATAATCATTTCCCTGTCTCCTCCTATATATATAACCTCAGAAAGAGACTCATCTCATGGGAATCTAAGACAATTAAGGAACAGGAATACCTAAGCCGTGGTAAGCACCTTAATTTAATACCCTAACACCTTCATTTATTTTACAAACATTTCGGTGTTTCAAAAACCCTCATCAATGCCAAGACAATTGCAAAAGACATGAAAAAAAAAAAAAATTCTTTTTATACAACATTATCAAATTTGTTTCAATAGAACACTTCAACAATTAGAAGCTTTAATAGAATCTATTGTCTGGTAATAAAAAAAACTCACAAAATCTGTCTCAATGGAAACAGACGTTGAAATCTACAACACTGTAGAAGCCTAGCAATCTATTGCAACATCTATCACACTGTAGCAGCCTAGCAATTTATTGTAACATCTGTCACACTGTAGCAGCCTAGCAATCTATTGCAACATCTATCACACTGTAGCAGCCTAGCAGTCTATTGCAACATCTATCACACTGTCGCAGCCTAGCAATCTATTGCAACATCTATCACACTGTAGCAGCCTAGCAGTCTATTGCAACATCTATCACACTGTCGCAGCCTAGCAGTCTATTGCAACATCTATCACACTGTAGCAGCCTAGCAGTCTATTGCAACATCTATCACACTGTAGCAGCCTAGCAATCTATTGCAACATCTATCACACTGTAGCAGACTAGCAATCTATTGCAACATCTATCACACTGTAGCAGCCTAGCAATCTATTGCAACATCTAGCACACTGTAGCAGCCTAGCAGTCTATTGCAACATCTATCACACTGCAGCAGCCTAGCAGTCTATTGCAACATCTATCACACTGTAGCAGCCTAGCAATCTATTGCAACATCTATCACACTGCAGCAGCCTAGCAATCTATTGCAACATCTATCACACTGTAGCAGCCTAGCAGTCTATTGCAACATCTATCACACTGTAGCAGCCTAGCAGTCTATTGCAACATCTATCACACTGTAGCAGCCTAGCAATCTATTGCAACATCTATCACACTGTAGCAGCCTAGCAATCTATTGCAACATCTATCACACTATAGTAGCCTAGCAATCTATTGCAAAATCTATCACACTATAGTAGCCTAGCAATCTATTGCAACATCTATCACACTGTAGCAGCCTAGCAATCTATTGCAACATCTATCACACTCCGACATCTTCAAAATCTCTCGCACAATCGCAGTTTGTCGACAATATCTATCATAAATACAGACGCTACTAACGTATTCACGATAGACAATTCAACAGAAACAGCCATTCCAGATTACATCAATCATAAATTATACGTCAGAGTCTATCATTACCATTAACCGAGAGTTATAGACCTATCATTACCAGATCATTACGCATATATACGTATATACCAACCCATTTTTAATCCTTCATACATGTTTATCCTTACCAACACTATACCAGTATATGTCTATATACTCGGAAATATTAAAATATAATAGGCCTATATTCTCGCTATGACAAGATCCATTATGCAAATATACGTTCAATTTGTAAACATTTATATGTATATATTATTTCTATTAATAGACTCCTACAGGCGTATATGCTTACCCTTACACGCATATACACTCATTATTAATTAAACCTTATGAGCGTATATATTCACCATAAGTAACATCTAATAGGCGTATATACTAATTAAAAAATTATTAAACGTATTCATGCACCAATATCCTTACGGACGCATATACTCACAAATAGTAGGTCCTAATAGGCGTATATACTTACCATTAGTAGCCCCTTATACGCGTATATGCAGCCTACAAACACGGAGATCTTTTGGCTCTTGCAGTACTCGTTCTCTGGTATAACGAGTATATCACCTCGCATCTGAAAAAAAAGGAATATACCCGTGAGAAGGCTGGAAACTGAAACCCGGGTATATCTCCCCTACATACGAAAAACATGACTATGTATCCCTTTTCCATACACGCAAACACACACACACACACGAGACACATATCCTCCCCCCCCCCACATAACCAGGCACTTCTCCCCTTCCACACCCACATAAGCCCCCCTCTTCCCCCACTCCCTGCTGTAATTACGCAAGAGTAATTAAGATGTAACGCGGAGGATCGCCAAGTTTAACCATATTTGGGGAAATAGTGTTGACGCTGGCCACCAGAGTGAGACGTATGAGCTGGATTATCTGGGAATCGCGTCTTGTTAGATGTGAGGTGAGGAGGGAAGGAAATGATGTGAGGTAATGAGGTAAGGAGATGAGGAAGGAAAAGTGAGAAGTGAGGAAAGGAGAGGAGGAGGGAGAATTAGACACATGTGAAACATCTGGGTATCTTTACTTTGTAGACGTTTCGCCCTCCGCTGGTTTTATCAATAGGACATGATCTGAAGACTGTAGAAATATATACAGGAGACTGTGAAAGACGAGGTAATCAGTCCCTCAGTCTAGGAGCAGGTGATGAGTGGACTGAGGGGACTGATTACCTAGTCTTCCTCTGTCTTCTGTATACATTTCTACATTCTTCAGATCATGTCCGTGTACTGATGAAGTCACTAGATGGCGAAACATCTGCACAATGAAGATACTTAGATGTTGGACGTGTGTCTATTGCTTGATCTTTTCAGTATTTATGTCATTGATATACAATAGAAAGTTGAGGAATGAGGTAAGGTGAGGAGTGAGGTGAGGTGAGGAGTGAGGTAAGGTGAGGAGTGAGGTAAGGTGAGGAGTGAGGTAAAGTGAGGAGTGAGGTAAGGTGAGGAGTGAGGTAAGGTGAGAGTGAGGTAGGTGAGGAGTGAGGTAAGGTGAGGAGTGAGGTAAGGTGAGGAGTGAGGCAAGATGAGGGTGAGGTAAGGTGAGGAGTGAGGTAAGGTGAGGAGTGAGGTAAGGTGAGGAGTGAGGTAAGGTGAGGAGTGAGGTAAGGGTGAGGGAAGTGAGTGGTAAGGTGAGGAGTGAGGTAAGGTGAGGAGTGAGGTGGTAAGGTGAGGAGTGAGAGTGAGAGGTGAGGAGTGAGGTAAGGTGAGGAGTGGAGGTAAGGTGAGGAGTGAGGTAAGGTGAGGAGTGGAGGTAAGGTAGGAGTGAGGTAAGGTGAGGAGTGAGGTAAGATGAGGAGTGAGGTAAGGTGAGGAGTGAGGCAAGATGAGGAGTGAGGTAAGGTGAGGAGTGAGTAGGGAATATGGTAAGGTGAGAGTGAGGTAATGTGAAGTGAGGTAAGGTGAGGAGTGAGGCAAGGTGAGGAGTGAGGTAAGTGAGGAGTGAGGTAAGGTGAGGAGTGAGGTAAGGTGAGGAGTGAGGTAAGGTGAGGAGTGAGGTAAGGTGAGGAGTGAGGTAAGGTGAGGAGTGAGGTAAGGTGAGGAGTGAGGTAGTGAGGAGAGTAAGGTGAGGAGTGAGGTAAGGTGAGGAGTGAGGTAAGGTGAGGAGTGAGGTAAGGTGAGAGTGAGGTAAGGTGAGTAGTGAGGCATAAGTGAGAGTGGAGGTAAGGAAGGAGTGAGGTAAGGTGAGGAGTGAGGTAAGGTGAGGAGTGAGGTAAGGTGAGGAGTGAGGTAAGGTGAGGAGTGAGGTAAGGTGAGGAGTGAGGTAAGGGTGAGGAGTGAGGTAAGGTGACGGAGTGAGGTAAGTGAGGATGAGGTAAGTGAGGAGTGAGGTAAGTGAGGAGTGAGGTAAGGTGAGGAGTGAGGTAAGTGAGGAGTGAGGTAAGGTGAGGATGTGAGGTTAAAGTGAGGAGTGAGGTAAGTGAGGAGTGAGGTAAGTGAGGAGTGAGGTAAGGTGAGTGAGTGAGGTAAGGTGAGGAGTAGGTAAGGTAGGTGAGTAGGTGAGATGAGGTAGAGGAGTGAGGTAAGGTAAGAAGTGAAGTGACGAGTAAGATGAGTGATATGAGAAGTTATATGAGACGAGGAAAGGATTGTTGTGAAAAAATAATGAAAGTTGACAGACACAACAGAAGGATATATAAAGTGATAAAGATTAAAGAATAAACATTAGATAAGTACCAAAAGCAGAGAAAACTGGAAAAAAAAATCCAATAAACTTCAATAAAACGCTAATAAACCCACTGAACCTGCAACACATATTAAAGCTGAGTTTGTCGACGTAAAGCTTAGGTAACTCAATTAAGTTAGACACTTGTGTGACACTTGCGTATCCTTGTTGTGAACACGTTTCGTCAACCAGTGGCTTCCTCAGTCCAATACAGAGAAGAATGGTTGGAGATCAGGAGTTTGAGTTAATCAGTCCCTCAGAATAGAGTCGATGTGATCACATCGACTCTATTCTGAAGGAATATATATATATATATATATATATATATATATATATATATATATATATATATATATATATATATATATATATATATATATATATAATATTGTTTCAACACGCTGGCCGTCTCCCACGAGGTAAGGTGACCCGAAAATAAAACATTTTCACCATCATTCGCACTATCACTGTCTCGCAGATACGGCAGCTTAGATGTCACTCTAAACAGCAAAATATCCCAAACCCCTACTTTAGAGTGCAGGCATTGTACTTCCCACCTACAGGACTCAAGTCCGGCTAACAGGTTTCCCTGAATACCTTCACAAAATATTACCTTGCTCACACTCCAACAGCTGGTCAAGTCCCAAAAACCATTCGTCTCCACTCACTCGTAACACATTCGCACATGCCTGCTGCACGTTCATGCCCCTTGAACACAAAACCCCCTTTACTTCCTCCCTCCAACCTCATATGTTCAACATCTATACGTACATTTAAAAATCAAAGTGGGTTAGGCCACTATTATTTTTTCTTCCTCCAGCTCCTCCTTATCTCATACCTTATATCAACATTTTCCCTCCTTTCTTAATCTTCCTTCCCACCTCCTTACCGTATTTTATGATCACAAATTCTTCGTACTCTTGCAACATTGACTACTCTTCCAGCCCCTCTTTCAATACTCACATAAGGTGCCAGTTTTTTGGTTTCCCTGTAAAAGGGGTCGACGATCTGCCAGGTGGTCATGATGGCCACGTCCACGCACAGCAACACGAACACCACCAAGAACAGCTGTGAGTCCTTGATCACCTGCGGTAGAGAACACCAGCATGAGAGTATACAGAGGTGTGGTGACATTGGATGGGATACACTTGATACAGAGAAAAGCTTTGTTACAGACAGCGTTGTGCTATGTTTTGAGTTAAATCAGGTCGCATTTCTCCCCGTATAGAGTTGTATCAAGCCATGATCTGATAAACTCTGCACCTGATTAGCCATGTTGATATGATAAACTCTAAAACATAATCAGGTTAAGATGACATGAGACCCTCTACAATGCATTTAGACATCCTGGTCTGACTCAAGAAAATCGCAATAACACGGTTCCACAACTCACTCGCCATGGGTTCAAACCCCACCCGTGCCCTGGTTTATACTTGACAATACCTGCTGCTCTACAGTGGTTAGATTCTGCGTGCGTGGTGGTGGTGATCTGATAGATCAACAGTGTAATGACTGTCTTGTTTTGTGAACCAGCTGCAACAGGTGAAAGACACCAGGTCAACATGGATGTGTATGTGACGTATACTGACTTGGTTCGCGTTTAAGTGGTTCTGCAAAATACACACACACACACACACACACACACACACACACACACACACACACACACACACACACACACACACACACACACACACACACACCGTGGTGTTGAATGCACCCGTGGCTGAGAACCATTGTATTAGAGAATCATCAGAGGTAAAACAGCATTGGATAACTGAGCAAAAAATAGATGAGAGGCATAATGACACGGAAGGTAAAGCAAGATTTTATATTAATCTACATTTCATTCACTACTGAGCTCTATTAGGACTGGTAAGGTTCAACCGGGAGCGAAACATCTGCCATACGTCTTTTAAATGCACGTTTTTTTTTCACTACGATGTCAATCATTTTTCTCCACTCTTTATTAACTCAGACTTCGATAACGTTTCCGTCTGTGACGGACCATTAACGGTCTAGGAGGAACCGAGAGATCGTCTCAAATTTCCTCTGAAAATTAGGGGTTAAAAGTGAATTACACCGACCTCTGTGGACGTAAACAGCATCCTCCCAACAATAGTGATCAAGCTTTCATTGTGAAGACATTTCCCTTTGTGTGGAGCTTTACCTAGTTATGATAAAACTCTACACAAAATCTTGTTTAGTAATTGTTTCTTATGTTAACTCCAGCCGGGGAACTGTTCCTTCTCTTCATCAGTTCTTCCTCGACTTATACATATCCCCCTGACAACCCATTTGTGGCCCTTAGCCATTCCTTTTATCCTTGTCTTCCCTTAGCCTCCCTTAACAGTCATTTCCATTGCTCCCCTTTCCCTCTTTTCCTTTGCCGCTCCCTAAATACCAGCAACGAAGCATAACAAATCACTCAAACCTGTGTCACTCATTTTCGTATCACGGCAAATAAATTTCAACAACTCTGTCTTTGTAGTGTTTTTACTCTTTTTTTTTTTTTGGTGCGTAAGCTAAATTAAGTTGTTGATATTACCGGACAAATAATTATCGTTGTTCATTGTATAAGCAGAGATTATTACTGTTTAAAATTATTCTCAATGAGTAAATATATATATATATATATATATATATATATATATAATATATATATATATATCACGAAACAAGTGATTTTGAATCATTTACCAAACTGCGGCAGGCCAGGATTCGACCCCACGATACTGTCCCGCCTCAAGTGACCACACAGCGTACATGTCACCTTACCATCTGAGCCACTGATCTATAGACTTCTTATGGAGGCGGGCACTGATGAGCAGACGGAGGACCGAGTCTCCAGCATGCCATGCGCCGCTTAATTATATACAACATATACTACTGGATGTCAGGCATCAACGATGGACCATTTGAACTGGTGTACCATATCAGTGGTTGACTACATGTGCAGGTGCTATATGGACCAGGATGAATATCTGTTAAAGGTATACTTAGCGGAAACGGGGGATATCCATGTGTTATTCCTGTTTTCTGGCGTGAAGAGGTGAGATGGAGCAATATGAGGGCGTATGTAAATAGCGGATTTATGTTGCTGTTGTTGTTGCTGCTGATGCAGCTGCTACTGCTTCTATTGTTGCTGGTATCTGCTGCTGCTGCAACTGCTACTGCTTCTTATGTTGCTGCTACCTATCTACTGTCATAGCTGACGCTGCTTCTACCACTACTGCTGCTGCTGTTGCTGCTACTACATATAATGCTGGTGGCTACTGCTAATGCTGCTGGTGGCTGCTGCTGTTCCTGCTGGTGGCTGCTGCTGTTCCTGCTGGTGGCTGCTGCTGTTCCTGCTGGTGGCTGCTGCTGTTCCTGCTGGTGGCTGCTGCTGTTCGTGCTGGTGGCTGCTGCTGTTCCTGCTGGTGGCTGCTGCTGTTCCTGCTGGCACTTGCTGATGCTGTTGACAGCTGCTGCTGGGCATGGTACAATTGCTCCTCTTCTTGCTGCTGTTGCTAGCAGTTGCTGCTGCTTTGTTGCACGAGGCTGCTACTGCTCTTGTTGCACGAGGCTGCTACTGCTCTTGTTGCACGAGGCTGCTGCTGCTCCTGCTGTTGCTGCTGCTGCTTCGCCTGATGGTCCAGCAGGTGTGCTATGATTAAAATCTTGGGTAGTCTATTTAATTTGAGGCCGACAGACTAAGTCATAAAGTCTAAATTTACATCCACGCTAACATTTAGGACAACTTTATCACTAAAATAAACATTAAAGGTTGTATACATACACTGAAAGAGGGTTGGTTAATTATTTGAGTTTAAAGCCTATCGACCACAGGAATGTCATTAAGGCTGCATATCATCTGCACACTACAAACCTGGAGAACATTAACACCTAAATTATGGATTAAAGTGAATTTCCAGTGTGTATACACTGAGATATATGTAACTTTCGGTGTATTCATACAAAAAGAATTGAAAAAAGTCAAGCATTTCACTGTTATTATTATTATTATTATTATTATTATTATTATTATTATTATTATTATTATTATTATTATTATTATTATTATTATTATTATTATAAGCTAATGTATCACTTTAATCAGTACCTTTAACCTTTAATATAGTTTCTGTCATTGTGATTATATTTATATTTTTTACGTCAATGACATTTACTTATTACACTGGCCATTTCCCAGCAAGGTAGTGTATCTCAAGAAAAAAGAAACGTCCACCATCAGTCAGTCAATAGTTGTCATGCCAGACGTGTGGAGACGCAGTATTATTATTATTATTATTATTATTATTATTATTATTATTATTATTATTATTATTATTATTATTATTATTATTATTGTTATTATTATTATTATTGGTCAACAAAGAGCAATTTGTTTGTTGCCAAAGATATTTGAAGTTATTTATGGTATTTTGAGGTTGTTGAATTCGACAATATCACTAGGCTTTTAAGACTTGCTCTAGTTTGTGAGCGTGTATATGTAATTACAATTTGTATATACAGATAGTTTTAATAAAGGCTGAAATTTAACTTTTGAATTATTTAACATTTAAGGAAATCAGTTGTATCAACAACGACCACCTGACAATATCGTAATCTCTATTTTGTTATTTTTTTTTTCTAGATGAACATGAGTTCTTCACGAAGAGCCTGCTTAAACAATCCCAATGCATTTTGCTACATTTGTGGCAAATACTCTTTGCAAAAAAACAAAGAAAAAATCTGAATTTGTAAAACAAGCTTATCTTGGTTGTTTTGGACTGACACTTGGAGAAGAAGACAGGTCTTCGGCTCCCTATATGGTTCGTTAACCCTGTGTGGAATGCTTACGACAGTGGAAATATAGGCAAAGGAGAAGTTTAAAGTTCGGTGTGCCTGTAGTGTGGAGCCGAGAAACCACCACCACGATTGTTATTTCTGTATTGTGAATGTGAAAGTTTTCAATCGATGCAAGAAAGTCAAGTGGGAATACCTTGATTTGTAGTCAGCAAGATCTGTGCCACACAGTGAAGACGTTACCATACCAGTGTTTACAACACTACCTGACCTTCTGTTGTCAGATGTTGAAGAAACTCAGGGTTTAGGATGTAACACAGGTGATAGCAGTGGAAGTGAATATGAAGTGAGCATTTCAACAGCTCAGCAGTTCTTCCCAGAACTCAGTGATCTGATGCGTGACCTCAGACTGTCAAAGGACGCCTCTGAACTTTTAGCATCTAGACTAAAAGAACTGTCTACTACAAGAAGTTAAAATAACAACATATCGGACAAGAGAGATTGAATTCCTTCCTTACTTCGACCAAGATGAAGTATTTGTATACTGCAATTACATCCCTGGACTTCTTCGAACGGGACTTGAATATCGACCAGGAGACTGGTGGTTGTTTATAGACAGCTCCATTAAAAGCTTGAAATGTGTCTTATTGCACAATAGTAACCAATATGCATCTCTTTCAATTGCTCACTCAATTAGACTGTGCTGATGACCAGCACAGAAACAATTGCACAAACAACGGTTTCATATGCAGTAATTAGTGGTATCAAAATGATCTTGCTATGGTAATCTGTTGTTATATAGAATGAAGTTCTAGTATATATATTACATGATTTGACTTTTGCATGATCTAAAAAATCATTTTAATGCGATTTGTAAGTTAGCTCCGCCTGATCAATATATTTTTCACATCTTTTGTATTTTTCAATGGGATACCAAATTTATCAAAAACTAGAGCCAAACAAACAAAACCGATGATATATTCGAAATCAGCATCACAAACTTACCCATAAATCGGTGTAATATAATTGGCCAGAAAATGAGTGTTGACCAGTTATTATTATTATTTATTATTATTAAAGATTAGCCGGTATTTTCCCGGCCCGGGCCTTTTCCAAGTGGTGGCCCGGCCTTGACTCCCTCTTTAGGGAGTGTCTGAGACCTAAGTCTCCCATGGGAGGAGGCACAAGTACCTCCTCATCTTTGGGACCAACTGTCCCCAGGTCCTAGCCACAAGCTAGGCCTCTCTGGTCTGCCATCCCCGCCCCAAAGGGGCTAATGGGAATGACAGTCTTAT